CTTATTTGATCTTTCTCCTAGAATGCTCAACCCTCTGTTTCAGCACATTAAGATCCTTCTCATGCTTTGTCTGTCCCCCTCAGCCAGGTGCATGCTTCCTTCTCCAGAGTCCTTTACTATCAGCATGTTTCTTATTCTATCCGATGTGGTGGCAACACATTTATTTGTGCCAACCCTATTGTAAAGTAGGATGTGAGGCAGTCTTCACAGGTATTACCCTCACTAAATACCTATCAAACTCTCTCTTACCTTGTATGTCAGGGACCCTGATAGCCAGGAAGCACTAAAAATGTTTTGTGAATTAAGTTACATGATACTGCATGGTTGAAAATTATGAATGAGATTAGATGGTGAACAAATTCTGTTGGGCCTCCCTGGTGGCGCAAGGGGTTAAGAACAGCACTACGAAGCTGTCAGCAGCCTCTGCGGCATGAGTTCAATCCCTGGCCAGCCAGGGAGCTGGCCCAAATGGCAAAGCAGACGTATCTTGTCTCGCCTGCTGCACCCCTCAGCAGTGTATTTCAGTCAGTCTGCCTGTTCTGTTCCCCACTCTGTCTCTGATGAATCCTCTCACCCTCCACACCTCTGGCCTATACCCCAGTTCTCAAATGCATAAATAAATAAATCTTTAAAAAAAATCTATGATAAGTACTCTTGGAGTATTAGTTTTTTAGGTTTTTGAATTTGTGACTTTAATGAACTAACTAAATCTCAGAATAAAATCTATGAATTAAAACTGTATGTAACGTGTCCAGCATTGTTTCTCATTCTCATCTATAAAATGCAATTAATAAACCCTTGGGTCCTAGGATTGCCAGGAGATGTTCTAAATCCACAACTATAGAATGGGAAAGGGGCTTGGTATAAAGGAAAGTCTCACCAAATGCTGATTTCTATCATTTTGCTCCGTAACTTAATTGTATAGGCCTGCTAAAGGGATTTCTTTGATCTAGAAAGCTTGCACAGCAGTGAGAAGGGAGCATTTGGTTTTCAGCACTTTATTTAACTGCCAGGTATAGAAACATCTTGTGAAGTAGAAAGTGGAAAGTCATTTCTCCCTGGAAACCTTTTTGGTATTCTTAGACAAATTAGAAGAGCAATGAATAGCCACTGATAATAACAATAACTCGCTAGGCACTATGCTCTTTGTCTTGGCAGAATGTTTTAGAATGATTGCCAGTCTTGGTAGTTCTCCCAATAAAGCAATCCTCCTATGATTCAGCTGAAGGGAAGACTACCACTTTTTCATCTCTGATGGAGCTCAAAAAAGCAAGACAAACTACAGTACAGATGCCAACCTAGTAAGAAAATTATTCAAATCACCACTTCTCTACATTACTAGAACTGAACCTCACAGTACTAACATCGATGCCAAGATAGACTGTTCCTTATATTTTTTGACAACAATGACTTTTAAATTAAAATGTGTGTATAAATAGCCTGAGAAGCTTGTTAAAAAATGTAAATCTCTCAGAATTCTGTTTCAGTAGTTTTGAGTTAGGAATTCAGAATGCAAGGCAAGTGGCTCTTAGATTACCTTACAGCCTTCATATGCAATTGAAGAAATGGAGGGTCACAAATGTCCAGTATTTTCCAAAGACTATGTGGGTAGGAATATAGCAAAGCTGGGATTCCACCCTTGTCTTATGCCAGCCCATGGTTATTTTCTCTAACTTACAGTTGCCTCCAAACTTCAAAACCGACCAACATACGAAAATCAACCAGAAAAATTTTAAATATATAGATTAATACGGTAGTATACAGGGTGTAATGCAGAGATTCTACACTTTAAACAGGCCTTCTATGGTGGTGTTGGTGCTGCTGGTCTAGGAGCCACATTTTCAGCAGCCAGGATTCAGGATATCGCTGGACATGAATTGAAGCATTTAAGGACCATGAGTTAAAATAAATTGGCCCATTCTGACTTCGTAGCTCCTGTTGTGAATAACACAGAACTGAGCAAATGGAGGATTGCTGGGTTAAATAAGAATAAAATTTAGTAGCTGGAAGGTCCAGGGCAACCAGTGAACCTAAAATCAGGTTGTGGCTCCTGTCTTGCCTTATTTTTTTCCCTCTCTGGTATAGTTTTCATGGTGATCTATTTCTCTGGGAAAGTATTGGGTCTCTCACAAGCAGAAGTTTATTCCTAGAGTTATGTGCCATGTGGTAGGAAATGGAGAAGATGCATTTGAAGAAATAGAACAGAAAGCATAGCTTTACAATGTGCAATTTTTAGTTATGAAATAACCTAAAAACAAACGTTAAATGGATAACATTTATGTATGTTCATAAGTAGTTTCAAAAATATAAAATTAGATTATGTAATTGAGATGATTTACTGAACAAGAAAAAAATGGACTTATAAAATAATCTGCAACTAATGCAAGATGATTTGTTTTTTACCTTTTCAAAGAAGAGAAAAGAAATAAGAATTTGCACTAAACTAGAAGTAATTCATTTGGCATAAAAGAGAAGTGCAGAATTGCTAAGTCTGAAAATAGTATATTGGGGGAGGATATAGACACAACATCCCCAGAAAATTTTAGAAAGTGATGTTTCTTCTCTGAAGAACTTTATAACCAATTAAATTTTGAGCTTCTATTATGAGCCAGGCACTGAGGATACCGTAATATTAAGATACTGCACCTGAACATAAGACAGGATAAAGATAAGCAAATAGGTAACTAGAGTACAAAGGAATGAGTTCAATAGTGGAATTTTGATCAAAATGTAGGCGGTTAGAGGAGGGACTAACTTTGTCCTGGGAGTGAGGGGGGTCTTCATAGAAGACACAATCTTTAAAATAAGCATTAAAGGATGAGTAAGAGATAACCTAAAGAAGTTTGATAGTATCTACGTCAACAAGTCATGTATTATGGGCAATAAAAGTACATGCCCTATAGAAGCTGATAGTCCTGAGTTCAAATCCCAGGTCCTCTGTTTCCTGATTGCATAGGTTTGGTCATATTACTTAATCTCTCAAGACTACATTTTCTCTTTTGAATAACAATCTGATATATCACATGAGGCAACAAATCAGAAATCAGTACATCAGTCTTCTAGATATGCTTCTATTCTAGTGTTACCTGACCTAAGTTATGTCCCACTTAGGACATAACTTGTGTGTACATTCCTACACATAATTTTTTGGGATGAGGCCACTCTTTTTCTATGTGCCATGTTCTTTGGTTGAATTCTCTGTTAGCAATTTTCCATTAATTTCTTGGTTTAGATTTTTGCTCCTGACACTTGTACAAAGTTGAACAGCATGGCATCCACAAGATTCACATCTGTGCAAAATCCCAGTTTGTGATTTTATTTAGAAACAAGGTCTTTGGGCCTCCCCTGGTGGCGCAGTGGTTGAGCGCTGGGCTGCAAAGCTGCCCCACAGCCTCTGCAGCACGGGTTCCATCCCCGGCCTCCAGCGAGAGTCCCACCTGGCGTGGCAGACCTCTCCCACCGCGCCCGCTGCTCCCCTGAGCACTGTATTTCATGGGTCTGCCTGTTCTGTTCCCCGCTCTGGCTCTGGTGAATCCTCTCACCTTCCTGCGCTTCTGACTGTACCCAGTGCTTGTATAAATAAATAAATAAATCTTTAAAAAAAATATTTAGAAACAAGGTCTTTGTAGATGAGGTCATCCTAAATCAGGGTGGGCCCTGAATTCAGTATGACTGGTATCACTATAGGAAGAGAAAAAGGCTCACAGAGACCCAAGAAAAAAGATCATTTAAAGATAGAGGCAGTGATTGGAGTTATGCTGTCACGGGCCACGGAAAATGGCTGGCAAATGCCAGGAACTAGAAGAGACGAGGATTGATGACCCCTAGGATTCAAAGAGCCTTTGGAAGAAACATGGCCCTGTTGACGCTTTGATTCTGAATTTCTAGACTCCAGTACAATAAGAGGATAAATTGCTATTTTTTTTTAAGTGACCCAGTTTGTGGTACTTAGTTACAGAAGTCCCGGAAAACTAACAATACCTTCCACCTTCCATTTCGAGTCAGATGTTCTAAAGGCACTTGGTGACTTTGCCAACCATTTAATTGACTAGACTGGGCTGTGTACTCAGAATTCCTTCCCAGCAGGTTGCTGACTACACTGGGCCACAAGAAATATTTTTGCATATGTTTGTGAGGCAAAACTATATCAGCAGAAGTCATATCATTTTGGGGGCCTCCCTGGAGGCGAAAGGGGTTACGACACAACCTATGAAGCTATCCGCAGCTTCTGCAGCACGGGTTCGATCCCCAGCCAGCCAGGGAGCTAACCACATGGTGCAGCAGACCTCTCTGGTCTCACCCACTGCTCCTCTCAGCAGTGTATTTCAGTCGATCTGCCTGTTTTGTTCCCCACTCTGCCTCTGCTGAATCCTCTCACCCCCCAGCACCTCCAGCCTGTACTTCAGTTCTTACGTAAATAAACAAATCTTTAAAAAAAGAGAAGTCATATCATTTTTATGCTCAAAAAAGTCAGGACAGGGTCACCAGGGGCTTTTGTAACTCACACACCTTGGTGCTCTTCTGATCGCCCACTTTGTTGGTTTGGGGCAACCCCGGCTTACGAGCGCTCCACCTTCCTCCTGATCCTCCCTCAACTTTTCTGACTCCTGGGCCAAATGTGTGCTTATCTCTGTGACCTAAGAGCCATCTTCTCCTCAGGGGAAGCAGTGAGAGACTCTACATAGGCCTAGCTTGTCTTCTCTCTCCTACTTTAAATCCATTTTCCCTTTCAGGCTGCCTGTCCTGCAGACATTAAGCTCCAGCATCAGATGCAAAAACAACAGCTTTGCAGGAGCTATTATCCAACTGCCCCAATTTTATAAAGTCAAATCCCTATAACAAATTCTTTTCTGATTAGACCCTCACAAAAACAGGCATCCAGAGGCACATAGTTTAGTCCCAAGATTGAGAGCAAGATAATCTCTCCATCCACATGAGATGGCTATATTTCAAAAATCCTGTACCCATGGTTCTTGAACATACCACATGAAATGCCAGTGTTTAATGTCAACTTACCTTTTGTGTTTTTCAGCCTCCAGTGAATTTAGTGTTTGAGCATAAAGATCTTCCATTTTCTCTCCCTTGTGTTTGTGACATTTTCTCCTTGCTCTGCTACCAAAGGGGAAAAAACTATAGTCAGCTCCTACTGTCCCCTGTTTCTATTCCTGCTGGGAGCAGTAGGCCCCACAGTTCGTATTCTGTTTTATAAAGGCTTTTCAACCATCCTTTGGTTAGACCTTGGCTTGACTGTTAGCATAGAGCGAAGCTGTCTGCAGCTAGAGCCTCAGAGGAGAGTCTCTGACTCTGCAGTGACAACGTTGTCCTAGATATCTTCCCTGAAACCTTGTCCTAGATCTCCTCCCTGAAAGCCAGACAATGTAATCTGAGACATCCTGGTGCTGATGAGTAGATGAATCACAATGACAATGGATGCTGGATTTTTTTTATGCTCCCATTCATTGTGTGCATAAAAACTGCACATGACATTTGCAGATGGCTCTACCAGGCAGTTCTGCTTCTTCCAGCACTCACCTAACAAGGCCATGAAAGCTTCATGAAATTATAATGAAGATCCTGTAGCCAGATGCATGGCTCCATTCATTGCAAACATAGAATTTGCTAGGGATATTCAATTACATTAGATGCCTCCTGGATAGTGTAGAAGGGGCAATGAATGGTGATATCAGCCTGGGGGAAGACCGGTTAGAATAAGCCAGGGAAGGCTTGCTGGTCTCAATTCTAGTCAGCACGCCAGTAGAACAGTGTCTGCAACCTGGCACTCTGATCTTACCGGTTGTTAGTAATAGTCTTTGTTCACTAGTTTCAGAGGATTCATCCGTATCTCCTCTGGCCCACTGAGCTAAGCTCCAATTGATTAACCTAGCCCCGGCTTAGTGTCTCGAGACCCTTTATCATTCCTTTAGAATGCTTGTCTTCACATTTCTATGACTTTATTTACCCTATCATTTAGGCAAGAACTTTTCTTGCCTCTTTTCTACTTTCAGGTCTCCTACTCATATCTTATAAACCAACTTAAACTTTACTATTTTTGACATCGTCAGACAAAATTGAGTTCCTTCTACTGTATTCCCGCAGCATCTTTTATGAACGTCTATTATAATCCACAGCACAAATTATGTAATTATTGACTTACCTGTCTAAATTTTTAATTTTCAGTTTCTTATGCACTTGGCTGATTAATCAGAACCCAGAACAGTTCCTGGAACTAATGTGGAATTAATAGCTTCTCTTTTTGAAGAGAAATGAATAGTGTTGGGGAGAAAATAATTTGACTTGGCCAATGCTCTTGGCCAAAGAGCAATTAATTAGAATTTGGGGCACCTGGGTTCTAATTCCAATTTCGTTCATTTCCATATGCCCTTGAAAGATTTTTAATGACTGGTCAGAGATGAGTGACATTGACAAGTATGGAAAGTCTCAATTTCTTCTGGCTTTAATTTCTTCATTTGCTAATTGGTGAAAGTACTAGTTACCCTTAATAATTCACAGATGTGTCTTGAGAGTCAAGTGAAATAAAAATATAAAAACCATGTCCCCCTTTACTGTAGATCATAGAGCAATGCCTACTACCTTCATTAATTCTTTCTTCATACATTTAAAGATCGGTAACTCTCTGATGCTGAGCTTTTAGAACAGTTTCACCCAAGCTCTATGTTTGTTTCTCAGATAACCATGATTGATGGAAACAGGTCCAGTGAATGCCAGTGGCTTCCAAAACTTAAAAGAATGAACTTTGTTGTGTGGTTTGTTTGTTAAGGTCGTTTCTTCTCCTTCCCCAGACTTCTAACATATGCCAGACAAGTGGTGAAAATAGTAGTGATCAAGATGATGATGTGTGTTTGATATTCCAAGTCATCCAATGGACTGAATTCCCTGAAAATAGTCATTCAGTCAATGAACATAATTTGGGAGACCCTGATGACTATGGGATAATGTGAGGGAAGAGATTCTTATTGGTCAGAATAGTGCAATAACCTTATATGAGGCTCACTGTTTCCTATCTCTTCCTCAGGTATAAGTTGCATAACCATTTTCTTTTATAATTGGGTTCACTATATAACTCATGCAAACCATAAGAGTAGGTAAAAATGACTTTTGAAGTCTTCACATCTTCCTTAAAAACCCTCTCTACCATTCTTATAATTTCTTTCATTACTTTGTAGTAAAGCCCTCAATTTGTCCCTTACCTGTCCAAAACAGCTCCCTTTATGACTTTGCCCAAACAATAGAAATATAATTAGTAGCATATTGCTTTAATTATGAAATGTGATCACTCCTTTACGGATTGATATCTCTTTCTTCTCTGTGTTTCCAGGTTTTTATTGGGGTAATAGCATGCTTTCAAAATAGAGCATACTGATAGAACTACAGAGGAATATTTGTCTCTGATAATTCCAACATCTTGGCTAATTAATAGTGGTAGACATCTGCAAGTTTGAATATGATGTATATTGTCAGAATGTTAGTGATTCCTCTTTTGTCTATAGACTAAAGGTGAACTTCAAGAGCCCTTAAAATTGGGATTCTTATAATTAGGAAACACTTTATGCCTGTTGGCAAGTCAAAATAAGATGATCATTAGATGAGGGGAGGTGGTAGATGGAAAGTAAAAGGAGCATATTTTGTTTTGCCTTTGTATAATAACGCAGATGGTCACACTGCTAAAGACAATCACATCTTAATAAATTATAGTTAAAATAACAGCAACACAGAAACCAAGAATGAACACAAAGTGAAGGCACACTTCTTCACGAAGTTTAGTAATAAGAGTTGCCATTAACACAATGCATTTTCAGGTAAAAATAAGATTTGTTAATGAGATATGACAACCTTAAATAAGGCACACAGAGAGAATTCACATATTAGGTACTGGAAAAAAATCAGCTTCCAGTTGTAAACACAAGATATTTGTATCTCATTAGCAAAAAATAAAACTTACTAATAGGTGATAGCCTTGCTATATCAGTGACATCAAGGGTGCCTTAATTGTCATTATTTTGTAGAAGTGCCTTCTATGTATGTTAGCAAAATAGGCTAAAAATATCCCCCTGTGAAAATGAATGATTTATTGCTACTTCCTAGACAGGAATGGTTTCATTTAAAGCAGTAAATAAGCACCTGGCATTTGCTCATCTCTGCTTTCTCTTTTTGTCCAGCTTCTTTCTCCATTTCATAGACACTTAGTTGGAAAGGAATGGATAGGGTCACCTTGTTCACACACTCATCTAACACTTGGATCTTTTCCAGAGAAGAAAAACAGAAGGACTTGAACTGCTCTGGAAAGTTACTTCCTGGGTTCACCCATCCTGCCTTTGGATGTCCCTAACTACTCAGAAGTGTCTCCTCTCTGTGTGCCCTGTGCACTGACCCTAGCTCCTCTAGCTGGGACTACACAGAATAATGCCAACCCCTCCTGAAAATGACAGCCCTCCAAGTATTCATCAGCTCATGTGGAGCCATTTTTTCCTTCAGACTAAACATTTTGCGTCCTTCTATCTTTCCTCACATGGCAAAATGCAAAGTCTCTTCGCCATTCTTGCCTTTATTTTCTGATTGTCCACATGTTTCTTAAATGTGGTTTTAAAATGGAATGTAGCATGCTAGATGTGGTCTAACCAGGCAGAACAGGACTACAGTTTTCCTTGACCTATATTAAAATGAAGATATATTAATGTGACTTGAACTCAAATTAACCCTTTCAAAGTCATATGAGACTTTTATTAGAATGAGTGATTTAAAAAAAAAAAATCAGAGCTCTTAACCAATGTCTTAATTCCATCCAGTCCTTGTTAACTTGTTTATATGGGTCCACATGTTGGACCTTTTATTTATTCTTACTAAAATTCATTTCAGGTTTAATTACTTATTTCCATCTTTTACAATTTTCAAAGAACTGTCAGAGTATGACAAAAATTTGGAGGTCCTCTAGACTAGACCCAGCCAGAGATGTCAAGTCAGTGACCTTGGTGATTAACAAAATTATCAGGCTCCCAAAGTTTCATCACAGCCTCTTTTCTTTCTTGGTCCTTCTTCCCTTGTCATCATCTCCATATTTGCAGTAATATTGCCTACCCACTTGGGTTGTTGAATGGTTGATTTTTGTTTAGGAGCCCATGGACTTTAACTTGGCTAACAATATAGTACAGCATTATTGCAAAATATATTTTTCCAGAAGCCTGAAATGACATCCATTCTCTTTCTGAGCTCCAGTGTACCTTTGATCTTTTGGAAGACAAAGTTAATTACATGCTGATTGGTCAGCATTTACCTCAGATTGCAATTATTGCTATAATAATAACAATTTTTTTTTTTAATAGAGGCATGCTTTATTTATTTATTTATTTATTTATTTATTTATTTTGTTTGTTTGTTTTGTTTATACATGCACTGGGTACAGTCAGAAGCGCGGGAGGGTGAGAGAATTCACCAGAGCCAGAGCGGGGAGCAGATCAGGCAGAAGGACCGAAGTACACTGCTGAGGGGAGCAGCGGGCGGCAGGAGAGGTCTGCGCGCCATGTGGGACCCTCCTCCGGTGGCCGGGGAGCAGCCGGGGATCGAACCGGTACCGCAGAGGTTGCGGGCAGCTTCGCAACCGAGCGCTCAACCGCTGCGCCACCGGGGAGGCCCCTATAATAATAACAATTTTAAAAAGCCCCCTACCTGTATTGATATTTAAAAAAATGTTAATTCAATTTCATGCATCAACTCCTTGGGCAAGCTGATTAATCTTTCTAGGCCTGAATGGCTAAAATGAAACAATACAAACTGTGTTTTGTGGCCTCATGATCAGGTTTTGGTTATTTATAGAAATGCCATAGTTTCTTTATTAGGGAAAGTTTAGAATTTCATTTTTAGAGACTGAGTCTCCTGTGATTTGAATGCTTCCCATTCAAATCCAAGTACTTCATGGGAAAGTTAATACATTTAAATTAACTGCTTAGCCTCCCTGGTGGCCAAGGGATTAAGACGCAATGTATGAGGCTTGCTGCAGCCTCTGCAGCATGAGTTCTATCTTCGGCCAGGGCACTGCCCACATGGCACAGCAGACCTCGCCTGTCTCACCCACTGCTCCCCTCAGCAGTTTATTTCATCAGTCTGCCTGTTCTGTTCCCCACTCTGTCTCTGGTGAATTCTCTCACCCCTCACAACTCTGGCCTACACCCCAGTTCTTTTGTGTATAAATAAATATATCTTTAAAAAAAAATTAACTGCTAACCTTTATGGAAGGTTGTCAATGGAACACTTAGCTGAAGGAAGCTCTGAAGTGAAGGAGATTCACAGTAGGAAAGTGGAGGCAGGAGATAGATAAAAAGTCCCACACTGGAGGATTGTCTAATATGCTATATGGGGGTATCTTTTAGCAGTGGGAGGTAGACTTAGAAGCTATGAACCTGGGCCTCCCCAGTGGCGCAGCGGTTGAGCGCTGGGCTGTGAAGCTGCCCGCAGCCTCTGCAGTGCCGGTTCGATCCCCGGTTGCTCCCCGGCCACCAGAGGAGGGTCCCACATGGCGCACAGACCTCTCCTGCCGCCCGCTGCTCCCCTCAGCAGTGTGCTTCGGTCCTTCTGCCTGCTCTGCTCTGGCTCTGGTGAATTCTCTCACCCTCCCGCGCTTCTGACTGTACCCAGTGCATGTATAAACAAACAAACAAACAAACAAACAAATAAAAACATGCCTCTATAAAAAGAAAAAATAATAAAAAATAAAAAAAAAAAGAAGCTATGAACCTAAGTGTGGTAGGATGATGACAAATTAATGTGGGGACTGAAAAGGAATTAGAAAACCATCCAATTCAATCTCCTTATTTTCCGGATGAGGAAACTGAGCCTTGAGTGCCTTGCCCAAGGTCATACAGCTGGTGAGTGGTGGGTCAGGTCCCTGATTTCTGAGTAATATTTTTCTTCTGTATCATAAAGACAAACTACACAATTTTGCCTAAAATGGCACAGTGTCTCAGGTTCCAGCAACATGCAAAGTGAGCGAGATTGATGAGATGGTTGAAGCAGTCTACTTGGGAGTTGAAAATGTCTCTCCCTAAGGCTACACAGCCATCCTTTCTGTATTGTTTGGGTAAATGCAACAGTGTTGTCTGTCTCTGTAGAGATTGGCAGAGACCACAAAATAGAGTCCTCTTATATTGTTCTGTTGTGGCAGATTGTACTGATTAATTGGACTCAAAGTCCTGGTTGAGGACATTCACAGAATGATTTTGCTGCTGAACATGTAGTCCCAGATGAAGACAAATATCACCAATCAAATGATCCTAGATGAGTAGAGAATGTCCATGGGATGATGTGTGAAAGCTACATTGTGGAGTCTTTATGGAGGTAGCCAACTACATCATCTTTGCTCTCTCCCAGAGTACATGCTGAGTGCTTTTAGTATTAGCATTTTTAGAATTTATTCCTGAAGGATTGCCTATTTAGGATTTCTCTTGCAGCATCAAGCTTACTCATTGTGACCAAATAACATTTATCTCCCTCCCTTTATCTGCTCTCATTTTTAAGGAAAGCTTCCAAGGACAAACCCTGTAGACCTAGCCAATCCTGCATGACTTAGAGTCTTGTTTCTGGAGTAGCCTTTTAAGCAGGTGCTTCTCCAGCACAGAGGGAGGCATACGAATCACCTGGGCCTCTTGCTACAAATAGATTCTAATTCAGTGGGAATGGGATAGGGCACGAGATTTTGACTTTCAAACCCACTCGCAGGAGGTGCCAATGATGTTGATCTGCAAACCACACTTCGAGTCGCAAAGCAAAGCTCCAGATAAGCCTCGGCCTATCTTGGGGAGAGGCTTGTGAGTCTGCTTATAGGCAGACTTTTCTCCACTCTATCCCTAGAAGAGTGTTTAACCAGAACCTTTCTGGGCCCAGAGGGAAAATTATTGAACCTATTAGGAACTTGCAGTGAACATGGATCTTTGCACCTAAGCCTTCTTAATCAAATCTGCAATATTTGTGGGTGGGACTGTTTGCTTGCACAAACACCCTACACTTGCCCACAGTAATTAGGTAATTGAATTGCAAACAGTAATTAGCTGCCTAACTGCCTGCTTGTTCATGCAGGTATCCAATTTGTTTTTGAAATGTGGGCTTATACTGGGTGCAAATGGAGGCTGCCCTGAAAGACACAGACACAATTAAGAAGACCCATTGAAAACCTGGCTCTAAGTGAGCAACTGTTGCCTATTTCTCCCTTATTTTTTCCTCCCATTTTCACTTAGTCTGATTGCATTTTCTTCTGCGACTTGGAGAATCTCAGTTCCATTGTGTTACTTAAGAGAAAGGAGAGGTGGTATTGGACGCTTGTTTTCATGTCGTAGGGATAAAATTAAAAACTAAGTGTTGTGCAATAGAGTGACAGCTGGTGTGCTGCTTTCTTAGTGAACTGACAAGCTTGTTTACTTCCTGAGAGCTTGTCTCTGCGCAGCCCATCATGAAAACAGGTGAGGGCTTCTGATGCTGTCTCTCCCATACCTGCGGGATACGTGCTCCAAATTGTGGCCCAACAAATGCAGTTCTTTTTAACCCGTGTTCATTTTCATAACAAAGAGGAAAAACAACTCTAAATTGGAACACCTGCTTCTCTGATGAAGTGATTTTGTGTCCAGGCTTCCTAGGAAGCTTCACTAAGCACCTGCTTACAAGGCTACTCAAGAAACAAGTTCGGTTAAGATACTAGGCGATCCCGGCACGCCCTTTGGAATCGTTCTTTTTTTTTAAACAAGTCTCAAAATCCTCTCTTCCCACCTACCTCAAAAGTCTAAGATTCAGGTTTCCCGGGAGTCCTGGCTGCAGGTCCTGAGTATCAGTGTAAATCTCCGCGGAGGTCAGAGTGTGATGTGATTCCCATCATGCCCTGGAGTTCTTCTGAAGCTGCTTCAAAGGCTGCCCTTGAACCAGGTGACCTGCAAAATAGTGTTCAGTTGATCTGACCTGTTTGTAGGGTAAGGTAAAAAGCATCAGGCTTTTCTGCCCTTTTGCCATTAGGATGGATGCAGAACCTTGCGGTGCTGAATGCATGCCTGATGGTGGGCACCTGGAGTAGGGTGTGGGCATAGGTAGATGGGATTCACCTGGGCTAAGACTGGGCTTTTAAGGGCGGTGTCACGGGGATGCCAGCAGAAGCCGAGAGAGAAGCAGGAGAGAAGAGAAGCAGAGAGAATGCCGGAGAGCCCAGATAGAGTAAAGACTTGCTGGGGGCTGGGAGGCCTGCCAGCCTACCAGCCCCCCAGCACCCCTGCCTGCCATGTGCCTGGTAAATCTCAATAAAGACCTGCAAAAGTCACTGAGGGCTCCAGGACTCACTCCTCCTTTACCCCGGTCTGCATGGGATCATAGAAAACCTGCTCAGTGTCCATGTCCTGCCCCTACACTGTTTCACTAGCAAATGGAAATATATGGAACATAATTATTCTAAATATAGAAGAATGGACAGTTTTCATTAGCATAGTGCAATTGACACAGGGCAGAAAGTTGCACTAAAACTGGCCAAGGACACTGCCTAGTTTACTGGGTACTGTCTGAGTTCTTCAACTGCACACACAATTGCAAGAATTTTCAGGTTCAAAGAACAACAATAATGGGATTTATTTGACAAACCAGGGAAAAAAGAAAACAAAGTTACTGAGGCCACAAATGGCTGTTTACCTCACCTGAAGCAGCATCCAGTGTTTTAAAGTCCTAAACACAAACTGTCCTGTAGAGTAATTGTATGTCAGGCTTTTCTGCCCTCCTGCCATTAGGATTGATGATGGATCCCTATGGTCCTGAATGCATGCTTGATGGTGGGCACCTGGAGTCGGGTGTGGGCCTATGTAAGTGGGTACACCAGGGCTGTGACTGGGCTTATAATGGCGGCGTCACGGGGACACCAGCAGAGTGGAACTACCAGAAGACGAGAACCAGCAGAGACGCAGAGGCCAAGAGAGAATGCCAGAGAGCCCCAAAAGAGTGAAGATATGCCGGGGGCTAGGAGGCCTCCCAGCCTCCTGGCAATTCCCCCTACCCCCCGCACCCCTGGCTGCCATGTACCTGGTAAACCACCCCCCACCACAGCACCCCTGCCTGCCATGTACCTGGTAAACTCAATAAAAGCCTGAAAAAACCACCAAGGGCTCCTAGGACTCCTCCTTACCCCGTCTGTGCAGGTCATGGAGATCCTGCACTACGCCATTCCTGCAGCTGCACATCCCAAGATGATGCCTTCCCGCCACTGGGGGCCTGGACTATAGGCCGGGATCCAGCTCACAAAGCTAGCAGAAGACACAACAGGAGATGACCCTGGGGCTGCTGAGATGTCCCAGCACAGGACCAGACAAGCGATGCTCAAAGCAGCAGAAAGTCCTGACAGTCACATTCACGTAGCTCAGCGAGGCACGCGCTCCGGGTCTTCACCTTCCTTGCCAGGCTGTAACAGCAGCAAAACTGGGCACAGTTTCAGTTGCTCGGCTGGTTGCAAAGCCTTCAAACTTTTCTTCTCTGAGGTTGGCTGCTGGAAGCTTCTCCACGTCCTTCAGAGGCCCGCAATGTCCTTCTGGAGGAATGGCGTGGTGGGGGCAGAAATTGCTGAGCCCAGAATCGCTGAAGATATAAGAACGCCTGAAATCCCGAAAGCTGAATCCTGAGGGCTGCTCTGCAGTCCCTTATACTCTTATCAGAGTCTCCACCCCCAAGGATACTTTGTATTTTGCCTAGGGTTCTCTGTCCTCACCAGCACCCACTCCAGGGGGCCCACCTGTAACAGTCTTTGGCTTCAGCCCCCTGTTAACACAATCTTTGTATATAATGGTAATAACCATTTACTAACATGTCGGTTCCTTCATGTAACAACAGTTTAGAATTGATTTAAAATACAAGCACTAAATTCTTAGGGGAAAAGAAGTATTTTGCAAGATCTTCCCATCCTATTTATAATTGGCACAAAGACCACTGTTCCATGTCTGGCTTTAAAGGAAACCTATAAAAACGAGCTTAGAAACATTTAAACTAAACTGTTGAATTTCATTTAGTTTTAATTTCATTATGAAGTGTATTAAAGGGCCGGTGGTCAAGGCTGTTACTGGAGCTTTCAGAGGTGGAAATCAAAGGCATCATTAGGAAAAAATGAAGAGGAACAAAAATCAAGGGCATTTTTATAATCAGCATAACAGGAAAGTTAAGATACAGAAAACTATGGCTTTTAGCAATAATAAGGTAGCAACATATATGTTAAGATGAGAAATAAGCATATTAATGACTACTGCCCCAGGAAAACAAAGAAGCAAGGTATATAATTTTAAACACTTCCTGATTTAACCATAATCTCCAACAAATACACTCAAAGACTGCTTAGTAACTGTTGCTTATGTATAAGGGATTGCAAATCCCCAAAAGAGTTCCTACTTTTGCTTTGTTTCTTTGAAGAGAAGAAAGTGTACCAATGCAATCAGAACATTGAGTCTGGTTCTTCCCCTTCCATGCCTCCTACAATTTGACCTTCCATATTTCTCTCCTGGAATGGCAACCTCATCAAGTTAGGTGCCCCTTCATCTGCTATCTTTTCTTGTGCACACTGTCTTGGCTATGACCAGACTTATTTCTTTAAAAAAAAAAAAATCACATTACTCCAAAGGCTTCCTGATCCTTAGAGATAAAATCTGTATCATAACATATAAAGCTGTTTTCAATCTGACTTCTGTTTCTTTAAGATGATCTCTCAGAAGCCCCCTGCTCTGTCATGCACCCGGTATGGTACCTTTGCATTCGAAAGATCTCAATGTTTCCTGAAAGTCATGTCTTTTGTCATTCTACTCTGTCACTCGGTCCGGTCCGGTCCAGTGAACCAGGAATCAGACTGGGGTAAAAACAGGGTCTAGTTGTAGGGTATGGTCAAAACTCAGGCAGAAAAGAACTTGAAGGCAGATAATTGGGAGTGATTGTAATTTAATCCTTTCAAGGGTTTATTGAGTAGAAAGAACACTTGTCTATATAAGCTCAGTGCATAGCAGTTATCCATATCACATTGCTTTATAACCAACATTCAAAGAGTTATATTAGCCTCTTGGCTACAGAGCATATGGAAGTCCAGATGGGTGTAGGTTTTTTTCCCTTTTCATTTTGTTCAACTTGTGCTGACAGTATCAGATTTTCCATCTCCAGAGTCATAGCTTGTACTTGTAAACATAGTGACTTCAGTGGAAGAGCAGAGGGAAAGGCAAAAATTGTATTTTATGAGATGAGGACAGAGTTCACCTTCCTCTTTGATGTCTACTAATACAGAGGTATCCATGAAGATCAGCAATTCCTGAGCAGGAAAAAAGCAAGGTTTGGTGCTCTTTAGGAAGGAGTTCAGTTTGTAACATCTGCAGCTTCATGGTGCAGAACAATTTTTTTGTCAAGTAGAATTTTCCCTTTAGATAATCTATAATCTGAGTGTGAGAGTGAAATTTTTGGAAGCACCATTTTATCTTTCATTTTGCTGCTTATTCTGCAGCAAACAGGCTGTAATAAAATGCACACGAACATGGTCTCCTTTTAGCTATACAGCATAAGTGAGCACCCACTAGTTAGGAGAACAATTTGTGTTTGGGTCACTTTCCTGAGAAATTTTATGAAAGATAATATCAGATATTCAATTAGAAAAAAACAAAATTACCCTCTGATATATAAATGCAAAAAACATGTATCCTTATTGCCCATTTCCCTCAGTGAAATTCAGACTCATCAAGCCAGAAGCAAATTTAAGCCATGGAAAACAGTCGTATTTAGGGTTGTCTCCTTTAGCTAAATAAAAGCACTGTAACTAGACTATGTAGAACAATGAAGAGAAAGTGAAACACCCATGATTTATGATATAATCAACTGCCTTTCTCTGAGCTAAAATGGACAAGAAATCTGAACCAGAATGCTCAGAAAAACCAAAGGCTGTGGTTTGAGAAGCAAACAACTGTGTCATCTATGACTGCATGAGCTCTAGAGATTTCTCGTAAAGAAAAGGTACATTGACTCATTCAATAGGTCCTAGCTGAATGATTGCTATGTACTGCTAGGAACGGCGAATCTGGTGAACGCTTTAAGGCTCTGCTCTTACAGATCATTGTCTGCTGAGAGATACAAACAAGGAGGATGATGGCAGTCCACCGCCTAGACATACACTACTCAAATGATCCTGCCTGTTTCAGACACTGCTAGGCAAGACTTTAAAATCTATCAATATCAGTAGTCCCATATTCTAATTAGAGATTTGAAGGAATTTGATGCTTGTAATCCATGTAGCTTGGATTTATGTAGTCATTTCCTCTGGCAACCTTCAAGTGCTAAAGAAGAGTTCTGCTGCCTTTACTAGTCTGTGTTTGCTGGTTCTTCCTCCATTCAGGCAGATCACGGAGTTGTAGTTTGTATAATTGAATATGATGATACGAGGATTCATTCTTTAAGCAAGAAGAATGTGGAAAACTTTATGAACAGGGGATTTGCAATCACTGATTTCCACCTTGTTTGCAGAGGCATCCACATGTCTGACAATATTTCAAAAGTTGAGGGGCTAACCCCCAGTATCTCAGAATGCGACTGTAGTCAGAGTAGGATATTTACAGAGGTAGTTAAAATGAGGGAGTTAGGGCGGACCTTATTCAAAGTGACCCACATCCTTGTAAGAGAAAATTAGGACACACAGAGAGACCCAAGGGTGTGCTTACATGTTGGAAAGATCCTGTGAAGACTGCAGCAAGGTAGCCATCTGCAAGCCACTGGAAAGGCTTGGAATAGATCTTTCCTTTATGGCCCTCAGAGGAAACTAACCCTGCCAGTTCCTTGATTTTGAACTTCTAGCCTCCAAAGCTGTGAGAAAACACATTTCTGCTGTTTACTCACCCAGAAATGTGGTAATTTGCTACGAAAGTCCTTTTGAGTATCTCTGATCCAGTAATTTGATGGACTAACCTTTCGAAATAGAGAAATCTCACCTCATTTCTAATCAGATGAAGAAAGATGCTTTGGTTCTTCTTCCATCATCTTTCATGCCATGAGACTGGACACATTATCAACACTGTATCTACTCTTTGGTGATCTCTGAAGTCCAATGAGGCACTAACAACTTTGTCTCACATGGGTTGAGTTCTTTAAGAATAGAACCTGAAAAGTCTCCCAATTTTTGGTATTTTAATATTGACATGCTTGAAGAGAGGGCTCAGAAATAAATGACCACTTCAGATTGGTTCTGGCTCAGTGATCCACAAGCATACCTTGAAAGGACTTTGATCTTCTCCAAGTCTTTATATAAATTCAAAGTAGTTAGTATTTTTAAAATATCATCTGTCATTAAAATTTTTTTCTATTGGATGTGGTTGAAAATCACACAGATAATATTTAATAATCAGGAGATTGACATGTAAATCACCATTGTTTGAAAAAGCTCACTGATGCAAAGATGTAATTTTCTCTCTCTACCCCAAACCAGTAAGAAAGCAAATAATAACCTTCTTGTAGTCCTGTGGTTAATAGATTGAAGATTTGTGTTGGGGGTTGGGGCACATTAGAAAAGCTTCCCCCCCCACCCCCCGGAGATTTCTGGTTGATAAAATGTTATATAACACAGGGTTTTTAACAAAATTAATTTCCGCTGCTTAAATACTAATTGTGACAAAATAGACATGGCTTCAAAATCGTCTTTTCTGTTTGCATTTTTCCCTTCTGATTCTTAGATTTAAAATTCCAGTTGTGCTGGAAATCATGATACGCCTAACACTTTTTGAAAATTATATAGATCAAAAGAGAAAGCATGTTCATGAAAAGCTTTGATAGTCTCCTTCTAATAAACCTCCTTTTAGACATTTTTAATTTATGCAGAAAAGTCATGCTCAGTTGGGAAATGCTTATATTATGTTTTAAAGCCTTAATTTATGTGATCAGCTTGAGCCACATGGTGCACATTATCCCTAACTTGTTGGCAAAGGGAAAATTTTAACTTGATAATATTTTCTACCCTTTGTGAAAAGAAAATATGCTTATTAAGTAATCAGGGAGACAGCACAAGGCTGCCACTAGCAAGGTTCTAGCCCAATGTGTGTGGAGCAGCTATGGGTGGACCAGAAGGACCTTTGCAAGTCCAATTTTGTGCTCCTTTGGTCACTGATATAGCACTAATTTTTTTTCCTTTGCCAATTCCAATAACAACAGAAGACAGCATCTGTGTTCAATAGGCCTATTTTTGCCAGCTTACATTAAATAATTCATTTTGAATGTTTGTAGGACTGAAATTAGCTTTTATTAAATATAGAAGCAGACATCATCACCAATCCCTGATGAAAGCAATCAACCCTTTTAATGATCCTTTTCTCCAAGTGTTACTGTCAGGGCTTTTAAATTTTTTTTTTCCCCAATTTTTTCCCACCCACCAACTGTTGTAGACTGAATAGTGTCGTCCCCAAAAGATGCCGAATTCCTTAACCCTTTACCAGTGACTGCA